CAAACTAGGAGTAAGCAACCGAAGCCGAGCCGTAATCCAAAAGACGAAGTAAAAGGGGAAAAACCAAAGTCAGAACCAAAACAGTACGAGGAGGTAGAAGGCGCAGCGCAACCAAGTAGCTCGAAAGGGAAACCAATACTGAGCGAGGAGGTAGGGAAAGACTAATGCTTAAATACCAGATGAGACAGAGGTGTGGTGGTGAAAACGTACAGTGATAGGTGGACTGATGAACTAAGGCTATGCCTTCTCCTGCCTCTTTCGTTGCCGAGAGGCAGGGATCGTAACAGTATATATTACACTGGTATATGTTTGATCAGATTATCTTCATACGCCAGGGTCTTCACAATCTTTTTCTTGGTATTTTAGTAGTCCATGAACAGGTGAGTTCACCTGAGGCAACATGCTGTACTTCATCCTTCAACCTATCGAAGCCATGAAGTTGTTGTTCTTTTGATAAGTGGAACTTATCTTTTCAGTTTTTTTTCTTGATTTTCCAAGTTTGATGTTCAAAAGTGTAAATAATTTCATCATAATCAAATCTAATAAGTGATTTAATGTTTATCCAAAAATCACACAACAAGTCACACAACTGTACCCTGTTCAGTAATGAATGCTCAAAATGAATTAATCAATCAAAACAAAGCCACAAACAATTCATTGATAATCCAATTAATTTTTCTCTTAACCACATTCCCCAGATGCTTTGGGGAATGACCTGCTGTCATAAATCACCTGACCAACTGGCTCTCCAGGACTAGGATTGGAGACCCCCGTCAAAGGAAATGATCTTATGAGTAACAACAACAGAATATCAATATACTGTATCGAAATAATACGATTGGTTTTAAATATGTTTTTTTCTTTCTCTAATGGATATTCAATAATCCATTAATAATACATTTTTAAAATTAATAATAATCTTTTTATAATGGATCTTCAGATCAAAGTCACATTCTATGATGCGATTTGTTCCTTTTAGGAAGAGTAACTAACAGCGACCACCAAACTGACAGGTGTATGCTCGCATCCTAAATTGTTTAAATATGCCCTCCAGAATTGTGTTTGGAAATTATTAAAACATATGAAGTAATTTGGAAGTTCTGAAAATTAAGTAAAGGTATTTAAAATTACATTTCATATACAGTATTCCATATATGAACCAATTAACTGGATATGGATATAATTAATTAATAGGAGGTGACGAAAGTGGTGAATATTAAGAACTGACCGAGCAGATGAATCAAGTAAAATACATAATCATAACCCCAAATTGTAAATTATTTTTCCAAGAATATACTCAAGAGGCTGGTATAGTTAGACGCACATTAATTATTTTTTCTCTGACGGAGCATTGGTGAAAATTATTAATAATTTAGGCACAGTTAGTTTAATAAATATTTATTAATAATGACAGTACACACAACATAAACACACAACACACAAATCACACCATGTACAATTTTACAAATAAGGCACCCCAGAGGCCTAACGTCCTAACCACGCAGAAAAACCACAGACTGTTGCCTTGTATTCAAGCTATATATTGCCTACAAAGGCAAAAAATAAGAGATAAGCTGCTTTCTAAACTAACCAGAATACAACCCACCAAATGAATGGGAACCTATCACCCTATTATAAAAATGCACCCACTAACAAGGATAGTTTCTTTCATGATGGATTCTTTAGCCAGGAAATCAGATTACACTAGAAACCACAGACTTGCTAGCTCTCTTAATATGGTTCAGATACTTAGCTCAAGTCTAGTCTTTCCAGGGGATCTGGAACAAAGAGCTCTCATCTTCAATATCTTCCTTTCCACCCCTTTTGTCCACTCCTGTACCTGCCTGTTTGTTATATACTGTTATATATATATAAAGTTATATACTGTCTTCCTGGACTGTTGATAGACAAAATAATTTATCTTGAACTTAATTATCTAAGGTAAACCAAGGTAAACTTTACAATTGATCACTGATTCTGGACCTCCAGCATCTTAGAGACACTTCCATAGCCACCAATAGCTTTAACAATATGAAAGAAATTAATTATAATTTGTTACGCAGAACAGAATTAATCTTCTTTAAAGATTATAGAGTACATCTTTTTAATATTTACAACAAATTCAAATTTAAACCTACCTTTTTGCAGTTCTCACATGCTGGTGCATAAGCCATGCCAAAAATTTTCATTGCCTTTTCCTGGCAATTTTGCAGGTCTATAGAGCGAGTAACATAGATCTCACTGGCCTTTTTGTCTTCCTCAAGAACATAGCTGGTGTAGCAGATGCCATGAATGCCAGGCTAAAATAAATGACAATATTCATTTAGATATTTGTGACTTGGGTGGTGCATTGACATGGTGGTTAACATTGCTGCCTTACAGTGTTGGGGCCTGGGGTGATATCTGAATGGTGTTTGTATGTTCCTCCTGTGTTTGCATTTGTTTACTCTGGGTGCTCTGGTCCAAAAGACATACTGTACTGGTAGGTTAATTGGCTTCTGGGAAAACTGGCCTTGGTGTGAGTGTGTGTTTGTGTCTGGGTGTGCTCTGTGATGGACTGGTCCAGGGTGTATCCTGCCTTCCACATGTTTCTTGCCAGGATAGGTTTCAGGTCCCCTGCAACCCTGTATCCAAAGAAGCAGTTAGAAAAAAGATGGTTGGATATTTATGATTTGGAATCCAAGGCGCAAATTGTACTTCCAATGTAAAATAACATGTTGATGTGGTTATTCATCAATGCGTCAGGGTAGAGTTTGTAACTGAAAATCTTAAATGTAAAATGAGTGTAAAAATAATTACTAACCCAGCTACAGTAATTTTAATACCCTCCTGATCACAGATTATAAAACCTGCTATTTTTCCCTTTTGTCTGTGGCACAGTTTGTTTACATATTGTATTTTGTTTAATAACTTAGGGAAAGTAGGTTTTCTGGCATCAAGATATAAAGCTATTTGTATTAATGATAAATCTGTCATGTTTATTCCTTGCTGTTAGTTCTGTAGTCTTTGCTAAAGCCAAATACACTTTTCAGTTTTGAAAACAAAAAATAAGTAGGAATAATACTCACCTCTTGAAGATTGTAAACATTTTTCGTGTTCTTGATTGTCATTTGTAGAAAATTCAAAATACCTTTCAGGATGTTGAGAACAGTATTAGAGACTTCGTCTGGTGCATATATGGTCCCAATACGGCCCTTAATGTACTCAAACTTGATAGGCTGTTTAAGCTGTGCTGCTATTCTCTGCGTCAGCTTTGGTGATGATGTTAATCTGTCTTTTTCTGGGATACCATGGAACTCTTCAATCAGTGGGTTGATAACCTTGGAGAAATTAATTAATCTTGAAATAAATGATTGAAGATTAAAATATATCTGAATCAATGTGTTAATATTATTTATGACCACAAAATGTTGTTGTAAGCAGCACCATAATCACCTCATAACTTATTTTGAGATCTCAGGAGTTAGACAGGGCAGGACCTGGTCAGCACTGTGTAGGACAGTATCTATACCTTTAACTTGGAAACCCTTAAGATAAAACCAGCATGCAAGTGGTGTCGTTAAGTATTCTTCCTGCTGGGCCATATGAAAAAGTAATAATTCCCCAGTATGGTGACATTGTGTGGTAGGGGATTCATCAGCTGATATGCTAAAGATACTGACTACTATGATAAAATAAGTGGATATAATATTCCTTTTGCTGTAATGTCACAGGGATGTGACCCACCATTCAGGATATTTACTCAATCCCCTCAGAATTACATCAAAAGACCTCTGGCATCTACTGAAGTTTGTGTCAGTAAGAGATTGCAAATGGACAAAATGTTGTCCATTCAATCAATGTTAAGATTTAAACAAATCTATAAATGTAAAAATATCCCCCTAGTGACAGTTACTAAAAAGGCATTACATGATGACAAAAAAAAATCAAATATTGCATTTATTCATGTATTTAAAATTTTAATAGTTTACCAAGACAAATCTTTAAAAGCATCTAATGCTATTGTATTCACCAATAGAGAAGCAACAGCCTAGAGTCAAGGGGCTGAATCAAACAGTTGGCAAGAAGACAAACTGGAACATAAACATAGTCTGGGAGAAAAGTAAACAGGCATGGGTAGAGCTGGTGAAGTACATGAGAACAAAACACAACGAAATTCCAAGAGTTGTCTGAGTAGCAAGCTAGGTTCAGAACATGACAAGACAGTTCAAAGTAGTCAAGCAAACAGGGTCTAACAGAGAGAAGCAATTGGCAACTAAGTGACTATCTGTGAATTAAGATTTAAAGAATGAAGCAAGAAGTCAAAACTCAGGGAGTAACAAACTAGGAGAGACTGTACCACATGCGAAGACTAAAGTGGAACTCTATGGCAGAGGAAGGAGTACCATCTTCATGAGGCTAAAATATTCACTGGTGGACAAAGTAAATAAATAATTATTATGTTTCAGTGGTATTTATCTTCCTTCCGATCTTGTTACTGTGGTAACTGATGGATTAACAGGCTGAGTGGGTGGGTGCTTGGAGATGGAGGTATTACGATCGCAAACACCAGTGGAATTGCAGGCATGACATACTGGATTTAAAATGACTTAAATGTAATATAATTTTAAACCAAAATTTGAAAAATAAAGGAACTTAAATATGGACTAGCATGTTTAATTACTAAGTATTATATTCTACAACTACAGTAATGAATACACTTTTAAGAAAATTCATATTTTATCATTGTTTTGGGGTGTTATTATAGTATTAATTGTGCATGTATGTAGTAACACCTGTCATACAAATTGTGTAGGAGAAGTACAGTACCACCCCATGCTATAAGTATGCTATTTTGAAAAATGTCCCAATAATTTATTCTGATCTCTTAAAATGGCTTTTCTATATTCTATGAAAGGGGATGAAAATACAAGTTTAGCAATTTCAGCTTAAAAGGCTAGGCCTGTAAACTGATTACTAACAGTCCAAGACTTATCTAAGTTAAAGTTAAAAGGTTGAGTGGGGGAGATTTTTCAGTGTATGAGGTGCAAAGGAAAAATGTACAGTTTTTCTTTTGTTATTTCCACTTTTTAGTAGAAACTGTGGAATTAGTGGAATTACTTTTTAATTCCAAGTTGCGTGGAATTAATGGCTACTTGTTCCTACGTTAATTATGTAGTTCCTAACTGCTAATGAGGCACTGTGGTTCAGAATTGATGATAATCAGGGTCTGCAAAACCCTCTGATTAATTTATACCTTTAGGAGAAATGTTTGCTGTGACACTCCGCTGATTTCAACAGAGCTGGAGATTTTTAATCCAGATTCATACAGGTTTTTTTCTTGATGACCTATCATGAGACTGCCTTCATAATTGTACACATATGTTTTTGTGGAGCTGAATCCAGGTTCTGAAATAAAAAAGAGGATAAACATATATGAGTACCTAATTTATTAAGAAGAAAATGTATAGATAAGAGTTTACTAGATTAGTCACATAAATCATTGACCTTCACATCCTGTTATGTGAGGTACTTCTTCCCTCTAAACATCCCTTTGATGTGTAGCATTGCTAACAGCAAACCCATGGGAAGGGGCAGTATGATGTCCCTCACCCTCATTGGACAGTGGCTGGAATTAATGTATATAGGATTGTACAGTTCATTATTAGAAAATTAAATTTCCCTTCCTTGCCATTAACTAATGACTAAGCCCTATTTACTTTTTTGGTAGTGCAATGGCATACAGAGGCAGCCACTCAGAACACTTACAGGCTCTGCAGCACAGTGCGGTGTACTTAGACTGTGTGGTTTACTGGCCAAAGACGATCAATAGGTTGCACTTGTTATGCGTTAGATGTTAGTGAAATTATTGCTTAATTTAATCTGTTTCCTTACTGTACTTTTTAAAATCAACTTAATATAGAACATTAATATGGAATTATGTACCTAAAGGGAAATCTTGGTAGCTGAAAATAAAACTAACAGAAGTATAAAATCTCTGGACATTATAAACTACATTAATTTATGAATGTAATAAAGCTGGTAGTGATAGTTAAGAACAGAAAAATAAAGTACACATCAATATTCCACCTTCTTCATGAACATTTTCTACACCAAAATCTTTAACTCAGTCACTTACTATAGTTATTATGAAAATGTTTTGATGTGCTTATTCTAACTATATGAGGTCTATATACTTTTAAAAAATGCTATAAGGTTTTCACCTTTTCTATGAATTCTTGCTGTCATTGCTATTGTTCAAAACATACTTTTTTACATACACTTAATGGAAAATTAATAAAGAATCATATAACTAAAGGGAATTTTAGTAGATAAAAATAAATCAAAGTATAATAATGTCTCTGAATGTCATTAATGATATTATTTTATTAATCGTAAATATTGAAAAATAAAATACAGATACTGTATAGGAGGTAGTGGTAGCAACAAATAAAGGTACACAAAAGTATTGTAACATTTCCTATATCAATATCTTTCACTCTGTAACTTGTGGTTATATTTAGAAAAGTGATGAAATGCTCCTTTAACTACATTTGTTGTAATGGAAAATGAAATGTGAATTAGAGTGATAGCTCAGTGGTATAAATCTGCACTATCCCACTATCACAATCAAAAACCAGGTTTGTTACCAAAGATAACCAAGTTATCTTTTTAACAAATTGTCTCATAATAAAAACTTCCTCTAATAATAAAATAATATATATTCACATTTCTGTTAATTTTATATATCACAGTGTGTCATATATGTTAATAATAAGGCAATAAATTGAATACAACTCCAGACCAACAATCACCTGGAGGCTTAGAAAGAGAAAGGAAGTTTAAAGATGCCCTTAAACAGAGTTTTTTACATATATACAGCATTTAGTTTTCAATACAAATTTTATGTTCACTATGTATATTTTTAAATAGAAAACTTTAAAAATAATTTTAATGTTTTAGACATTTTAGTTTTTACACAAAACCAGGACCATTTTTCTTGGGAGTTCACATAATTATGGATTTTATAATAATTTTGCTTAAACAAACTTGTTAGAAATAGTTGTTAAAAATACACGAGAACAACACAGTTGCACTTGTGATGTGTAGCACCTACAGGTATTTCAGTTTAATTTTACTGATGTAGCACTGAAGGGAGTGTTTCATGCCTTGGTGATGCACTTTTTTCCTCACTGTACGGGGGAGGGAAACTGGAAGTAAGCTTTAATTTACACCCTCCATTTTCAATACACATTCACAATAGTCACTGATGCCTCTTTAGTTTAGGAACTCTAATTCCCATAAAAACCACAGGGCAACTTCCTGGAAGTGTGTACATCTCCTGGGTACTAGCTCACCTTAAAGGAAGGCAGTTTATAGAACACAACAAATACATTAAAATGACTACTCAAATGTTTTGTTTTAATCTGGTCTTTTATGTTAATTTACTTTTAAAATACAAAATTATTAAGGCCACTATGTTTATAATATTTTCATAATTAAAAAATAATTCATAATTTTAATTAATAATAATAATTTGAAAAAATACCACTTTTCTTATCATAATTAGGACACAGGAATAATTATTCTGAATAGAAATCATAACCATAGCAATAGTTTCACTCTAATGTGTAACAAATTACATTTCTGAAAAATTAGGCTTTTTAATGTTTGTAGTATTTGCTATTTTTTCTTAAATTACATCATTTTTTAATAATAATTGCACAGCGGGTGATTTATTTAATTTCAATTTAACATTGAAAAGTTCATAATATATATATATAGTCTGGCACTGTGAAGAGACATGAGAGGTGTGGAATAAGTGCAGTATATTTTCTTATCGGTGCAATCATATTCTTGACTGACAAAGGAATGTACTGCATATTCTTACAGTAAATCCTTACAAAAAGTACCAGATAATTTCCAATAGCATCAGAAATTTTATTTTTAAACAGCAATAGTTTTAATATAAGGTGCTGGTAAAAGGGAGAGGATTTAATCTACAAGTAAAAAAATATATTTGTATATAAAATACTTCTTATAAAATACAGATTTTCAAGTGATTTCAGTTTATCATTGATCTTCTGACCTTATGAGCCTTCAGAATTTTAAAACAGCTTTTTGTTTTCATTTTGGCTGTGTACCAGTCCAGTAAGAATCAGCACCGTCGCTGTGGCAGTCCTGAACAATCTTTCTATCTACATGGATAAGCCACCTGTTCCATCTTTAAGACATTCAGCACACTCTGGCTGTTTTAACAACATTATTATTGGATCACAGCTCCAGCGAAGAGACAGTGTTCCAAAGAACTGTCATTAATGAAATGAAATAAATGAAATAATTAAATAAATGTCAGGAAAAGAATGAAGTGTTATGTCTTTGGACCGAACAGTACTGTGCATTATATCATACTGTGTAGCAATCAAGTGCAGTGTGATTAGTATATAAATATACTGTACTATACATACTGTAACAGCACAGTATGTGCAAATAATTTTATAATGGAAATCTAAAATAAAATTACTTTTTCCTTAAATTAGTATTAAAACAAATATAGATTATTTTAATGTTGATAATTATGAAAAAATGTTGCACTCTCAATGGTATATAACAGTAAACTATTTTTTATATCTGTCTGAGTAATCTTGCTTTGTGTAACAGCCCTACTTTTATTGTTAATATTAATTTAATATTTAACTTACTGTGATCTATAAAAATGTTAACATAGTATATAAATTAAATGTTATTATGGGACAAACCCATGGGACTGGAACTGGCCTGGATTTGAACCCAGACATTTTACATGACAGGCAAGAATTCTTCCACTGATTCACCAATGCCTAATACTGATGAGTTTACAGTAAGTGGCCACAAGACATTCTTAGAGTCATTTAGAACTACTGACATCTTTTTTAACATATTTGCTGTTAAATACAAATGTTTTAAAAGACAATATATATAATATATTTTAAAATCAAAACCTAAAATAAAATTATTTACTTATTACTATTTAAATACATCTACTAATAATTCTGTATACTGTAACATAAAAAAAACAAATGAATTATGGAGTGTTATTGTACAGTATGACTAGCTTTGGAAAGCACAAATGGGTTAATACACATTTAATTTTTACTGTTCAAGTAATATTTACTGTAAATTATGTTAGGCATGCCAGATTAAGCATTCACTGCACCACGTGGTGGTTTTTTCAAAAAGTAATTTTTTGAAAAAAATAAGAGGTGTTTGGTGTTTCATTGCATTGGAATGCTACAGTATATGAACTTTGCACACAGTACATTATACCTTACCCATTCTGAGTGGCTGCATCTGTAATTAGTAAAGGAAGTAAAGCAACATATAGTGTGCTATAATGTCTTACTAGAAAGAAGATAAGTTTCCTGTCTGATTCATTGCTTTCCCAAATTTTTGATATGTACAGACATTTGTGTTGGCTACCACTTTTTCCAAATTTGTTTCTTACTTTTTGCCTATGTCTGGTAAAATAAAAAATGTCTAAAATAAATTTTAATTTTCATAATTATTGAGAAAAAAACTGGGATCAGTGCTTCAGCAATGGGAAAATATAGTTAGAAATAAAAAGATTTCAGCAGGACTGTGCTGTTCTGTTCCTGTCCCTAAAAATTAATTGAATTAGTTTTTTAATTGTAATTCTTAATTACATACTTTATTATTTTTAATGGTATCAGTGAGACCTCTGGACTGTGACATGAATTTCAGATTCTAGACCTAGAGGCACATGTTAAAATATAGCAAGTCACTAAATGCAGATTAAGATAAATGGGAGTGAAATTAAGTATAGTGATAATACAGACCACTAAATGTGATGGAACTTTAACTGTTAAAAAATATTATTGTGTTATTAGAGAAACACTATATAGTACAACTACAGAGCCTACTAATTGGGCTACATATGGAAAATAATCAAGAAAATTATCTTGTAAAGTATGTAGCTTTTTCTATAACATAGAAGACCTGCTTCACTGACGATTCTAAAACACAAGATGGCAGTATAGATTATATGAAATCTATGAAATCTGTGGTGATAAATCTGGGTTTAAACAATATGGTAAAAGAAACATGTCTTTCGCTAGATGTGTAAGTAATTTCTGTACTTCATCCAAATTGGAACTGTTTTTTTTTATTTGACACTAAACCATTCAAGAGACTGGTCAGAGTCTCATTCAAGAATGTTTATATATCAAAGATCTTAGAAATAGTTCACAAATATGCAGAAAGATTTCAAATATTTACATGCATTTTTCACTTCTTTAATACAATTTTCAGACTTACATCTAAAAAGCATTATTAACATAAAAATATTTTTTTCCTGTTTTAATTGACCGTTGACAAATATGATGGAAACATAAATTTCAGTAGTTTGATAAGATCCTAACAAATGTGACTAAATGTGTAGAGAGTATTTTGGAGTAATTTGTTCAAATGTTGTTTTTTCCATCTTGTACTTTAGAAACTGAGAAAAATAACACAAATGCACTGGAAGGTTGAAGCTTGAAGCTTGCACCAGGCAAGAACCTTACTTCATGATCATCCAGACAAAACCCAAGTACAGCAAAGTATTAGAACCTTGCTAGGGAGAGCTGGCTTCCTGTGTTTTTAGGGAACTTTTATTTCCTGAGTAAATAATACCTCAGTTAAAGACAGCCTTTCCTGCTTAGTGGTGCATTTGTAGAATACGAAAATAGGTTCCCATTCATTTGGTGGTGTCTGTGTTTGTAGACAAACTGCAGATTGTTTTGCATTTATTAAGAACAGAGCTTATCTCTTATTTTAGCCTCTGTAGGCATTGTTTAAGAGTTCAATACTTAGTAGCAGTCTGGGGTTTTCTGGGTGATTAGGATGTTAGGCCTCTGGAATGCCCTATTTGTAAATGTGTAAATATAGTAACTTGTGTGTTTGTGTGATTTGTGTAGTAGTGTTAGTATTGTCATTGTTAATAAATATTTGTTTAATGAAGTGTGTCTGAATTTTTACTCTTTTCACCAAAGCCGTGCCAGGGAACTAGGAATTCATGTGCCACTAACTATAGCAAGCACCAGGGTATATTCTTGGAGAAATCACAAGTTAGGTGGTTATGATTATTTATTTTATTATTATTATTACTAATCTGCTTGGTCAATTCCTGCTTACTCTCCATTTTCTCAACCTCCATTTGTAATGATATTAAATACAGTATTCTTTGCTTTATCTGTTATTGTGTGTACTATAACATGAGTGTTCACATTAACTCAATGCAAGCATTTTTAAAAAGGTATTTAAAACGTAAATTAAACTACAGAGCTGAATCAACAATAAATCAAAGGATTTCAACTATGACTTAATGTCGAGACATAACTTTAATAATTGTTATTTATATACTTTTACAATCATTGAATTGCAAAGTATAATTGAGAATCCTAGACTAGAAAGTTTTTTAGAAATGGACATTGTTCTTGGAGAAGGTTAGTTTTCTGGTGCAAGCCCACAAGACAAAATTGAAACACTGCCACAAAACATTCATATTTTCTCAGTATCTGCTAAGCAGCATAATTATGATCATAATATAATAGCTAGACACAAATTGTTGTGATAATATTAATTGCAATAAAACTTACCATATGTATTTTTGTCACAACCTAAAATATAAAGGAAACAACAATTAAAAAAAACTGTAAAAATAAACATTTATTCATAACACATATATAACATGAGCCCTTTACAAGATATAATGTTACTTACCAACTGTGACCAAAGAAAGTAACAACACAAGCCCCCTCATGCTGAAGTGCAAAAAAATTCTTGATTGTTCTTTGAATAGTTTTCTTTATATAGAAATATCAATGAAGATGTGACCAATAAGACCTGATAACCTTGGATAGAGAGGGAGGGGTTAGTAGGTCAGTGACATTAGTATTAGTTATTTTTGAGTAGTACATAAAACAAGCCACTCAAGAGTAACATTTCTGTCAGTATTCCAAATAGATTCAAAGGTCTATGGTTAACAGGTAATCTTCCATATAAACACGGTTTAAAACTGACCCAGTCAAAAAATGATATGTTGACTTAGAACTTAACTTTTTTCTTCCCTAGCTCTTAATTATTTACACAATGGCTATTTTTATTATATTTCTTCCTGTGTTAAAAATGTAAAAATATTTTTTACATTTTGCAGGTTAAACATATTGATACACTTGGATTATATGAATTTATTTAATAATCATGTTATGCAACCAGAGTTTAATAATGCTGTCTGCAACAATAATTCGGGCAGAAATATACTTCATTTTTGTTATTTATATGAAATGTAATTGTTGTGAGACTATAGACACTCCTATCTGGACATTTTCACGACCTTGAAAAAATAAATATAACAATTGGCCTCACTACTCACTAAGTACTTCGGAACAATTTGCCAATACTTGTTTTTCTATAAGTGCAGATGTGGAGTTTCTTTCTGTCAGCTATTGAGTATTTTCTTTTCCATTCTTTTTAATTCTACTTTTACCATGAATGCTAATACATTCAAACCAAAGTTTTCACTTGATCTCTGCACAAATATTTTAGACACTGATTAAAGTACATGTGGCATAAAGTTGTGATTTTATACATTTATTATACAAGAAAAGATGTTCATTTTTTTGTTATAAGCAATGTTGCAGAAAGTCACTTTCAAAAAGCAATCATCAAGGCTGGAAGTTGGCTTAGGTGACCTAGGAGTCTGTCTAGGGCCCTGAGGCCACCAGTGGGCCCTAGGCAAGTTCACAAATTTTGAAACAAAAACTACAGTACTACAGTAACTACAGTGAGTCAATTGCTGCAGTGCTAATCTAGTCTTATAAAAATTGTTAGTTATAAATTATATTATTAGTTATGATATGTGTTATATGATATTATATATGATACATATTACAGTATATGTTATGATATATGTAGAAATTATTATTATTATTAGTAAGTGTAGTCATTTATTTCACTTATTCTTATCTGCACCATAAAATGACAAAATCAGTGCAGCTGATTCAAATGCTGTTCACTTGATTTTGGAAAGTAGTAAATGTTGTGAAGATCGGTTTTATCAATCTTTCATTCCATCTAACGTAACGAAACATTACAAGTGATAATTGTAATGGTTTAAAATTAAAAATCATGTAGCTGCAACTGGTAAACACATATCCTCCTCCAAAAGGACGTACCTATGGGTGCTGGAAAATGGAAGCACATGAACAAGATAACAGATTCACGGTTCATGTTAGAAATTTCAATGTTAAAATACTGCTTCTTGTTCTTGTTTGTAAATTATTTATGTGTTTTTCAAAACTGGTTAATAAAAAGGTTTCTATTTATATAATTCATTTCCTTATAATTGTCCTATATAGCAAAATAAGCCTGGGGTGGGAGCTCATGATAGTAGTGTCTGCGCAGATTATGATCTGAAGGGGCCCCTTTCCAGGATCTTGCCTAGGGCCCACAGAAAGGTGAGGGTGGCCCTGGCAATCCTTTACAATTACCATCTTGAAGGATTACTCTTTTAACTAAATAAGAAGTTGTGGGAAAACATTTTATCACTTTATATAGTAAATATATACAAGCTACCTTTACTGTGTTTATTTTTTAAATGTTATCCCTTGCACAATATACTTTTAATTGTAATGTGTTTAATTTTAAAAGTACCTTTCCACAAAACCACCTTTAAGTTACTCAGCAAGTGCTTAATGCCAAACATCCATTTGAAGCATTTCTATTCAATATAAACTACAGAAAAAAAAGTTGATGGTGACGTGGTGCCGGATGTTGAGGGTTAAAATGGGCTATGGGGTACAAACCTATAACTTGCCAACAAAGAATGAGGGGCTATTGTGAGACACAGACTCCAAAAACAGGTGGAAGATTACAAAACGTGGGTCTTATTCCCTTAACCATGTTAGGAAATACAGCTTTAAGGGATTTCAGGGATTCAGGTAAAAATGAAATATGCAATACTGTATATAAGCAGCAGAAAACGTACATTTTGTAGCTGCTATGTTGCTGGTTTAGAGGCAGTTTGCTGAGTATCAATTGTTCCAAGTGAAGCTTGGCTGATGAAAATCAGTTAAGCTGTCTCTACTAGAATGCAGTAATTAAATTTGAAGATTTTCTATATTCCACTGTCCTGATATTTATCTTATAAACTATAATTGGCATTGATAACTTTTAAAGTTCTAAAAATGCAAGTTGGAAAAATGACACAAATGCTGCCTGAAAGAAAATACTGCTAATATGCTAGTAGGTTAGTGCATACTTGCTGCAAGAAAATATTTTATATATTTACACTGTGAATTCCTCCATGCAGTTTTACTCATCCATCCATTCATTTTAACTGCTTTATCTGATCCAGGGTCACAACTACGGTATGGATTTAAATGAAACTTAAAACTTTACTGATGTGAATTCAGAACTACCAGAAGGTGTCAGTGTATGCTTCTAAATAATTTCTTCAGTTGTTCTCTTTCTTGTAAATTAAGGAAAGAATGAGCATTTTAATGGTAATTCTATCTCTTTTTCATTTGTTAAGATAATTCCATACTTATTCATATAATTTGTGCAATCTGTATTAGATGTTCATAAACACAATGTGCTGTTTTGAAACGTTTCAAGACGGATTTATAAATTTTATATTTCACCATAAAAAAATCTTGAGCAGAAAATCACACATTAGCAAAAACTGGCAACAAACAGACTGCTTGCCCTCTGAGATCAGAATGACATTACATTATGACCGCTCAATGAGATAAATAGATATAATGGTGGTTAGCTAAACAGTATCTGATGTAATGACATATGACTTTAAAGGTCATGGTATACTTAACTAAAACTATTTAACTATTTCCTTGTTGTTATTTTCACACATCCAGCATGTGCGAAGAAATAAGGAAATAAACCTAGAAATAAAATCTGCAGTCACACTTAAAAAATGTTTGGTAATGAAACAGTCAGCAAGAGAAAAATGCCCTTTTTTACTAAATTTGGACACAATAAGAACTGTTTTAATGGCTCATTTACTGTAAAAGATGAGATTTAGCCATTTCACAGTGAGTAGATATAATAGATAATAATAGATATAGATTGCAGATGCTTTGAGGAGCAAGCTGATTTGTAAATGCACTAAGAACATTCCCCAATAAGAGCTTGTAGGAGAACTGGGGAACAGATATTTATACCTTGATTGAGAAGGTTTATGTTTTGTTTTCATGAACGAAGAATTTGAACACAGATATGTATAATAACTTGCATTAAGGAAAGGGAATTAAAGGTCTGATGGAAGCTTAAGTAAAATTTCTAGGCAGACTAGTACAAGTGGAGAGTACAGGGTTTGTTGCTTACAGTAGCAAAGCCCAGCCTTGGTCACATTCTTAAAATCCTCTCAGCCCTTCTGCTCTCACCCTTGAATAGGTGTAAGTTTTCTCTCTTGTAGGCTATTTTAGTTACATTATGAGCATCATTCTACTGGATTGTCATTTTATCTCTACATGGGATGGACAAAATAATGGAAAAAAACAAGCAATATGTTAATGTTTATTAACTAATGAGGAGTTGTGCCAGGTTTTGCCTTCAGTCATTCTTGGAATACT